CCCCTAGGCAAGTCGTTAGCAGCTAATATTTTAACCCTGTTAGTTTCTCGGTGAGAGCTTTCATTTGACACCAAAATAGTTAAGGAAATCGTCTGACATGATAAACGGTTCCATTGTAAGTGTCACCGCATGCAACACGTGATTCGGACAATCCACCAGCTTACTATTATACGTTAATAGCAAAAGAACAACACAATTGATGAAAAACAGCAAAGAAAATAAAGAAAAACAAAGATCTCCAAGAAAAATATCCATCATTCAAGTCATCATCAAATATCAACATCATCCACATCCACCACAAATCCACCATCGATACAATAAATGATCCTATCATATTAGCAAATCGAACAAGTCATTACACAGTGGACAGCGAATCTGAACGAAAGAAAATAAAAAAGGATGCACTTATACAAATCCAAATTTTACACTCGATCGATGCATCAACAATTATATTAATTGAAACGGCATATTTACCTAATCCACAAATAACTTTATATACAAAAATTAAAGAACTCTGGTCCACCATATTTAACAACAACAAAAAAATCATCACTTGGGGAACGGTGGACAATGAATTTAACAATTTCTACCACCTCGACTTCATCAATTTAGGTAATCCATTTCAAATTGTTAATTTACAATCTTTATTTAGGGGATGGCATAATGAACGCTGTGTAACGCATCCAGAAATGGAAAAGCGTGATAAAAAAAACGGACCAGTATCATCCAATATGGTTGATATGTCTGGTGATGACACTGATGATGATATGGACGATGGAAAATTAAATGATTACTTGCAATATCAATGTGACCATATAACTCATTACGATGACAGTGCAACCTGGTCATTACAAGATGCTATTACAACAACATTTAATAAATTTTTGGATAAATCACAAACAATTAATTTTTGGCAATGTGGTATTGATTTAGAATTAAATACATGGAAGAATAATTTATTTAGTCGACCACAATACAACAAACATATTGAACAACAACAACGATTAAAAATGAAACAATATGCTACAGACGATTGTATTGCAGTCGCAGAATTATTCCTCCATATGTATCCAGGAACAACAAACCATCATCAATTACATGAAGTACCACAACAAACAACAACAACAGCGTCAACAAATATATTAATCGATTTTGAAGATGATTTATCAAATATAAGTGAAAATGAATTAATTGAATTAATTAAACAAAAATTTGATAAGAAAAAAGAAGAAATTGTACATCAACCACATGATGCACCAGCCGAATTAATAATAACAACAGCACCAAATGAAATTAATGAATTTAATTTGAACGAACAACAATTAGAACAACAACCATTAAATGCACCATCAACAAATTTATCAAAAACCGAAAAACAACGTCGAAAAACCATGAAACTAAAATGGAAACAACAAAACCGACCAGACTTCCAAAATAAATTAAAACGACCAATATATTATAAATATGACTTTAGAAAAATACGAGCTCAATTACGTGATGATAACATACATACAAGTCATCAAATAACAATCAACCGTAGATATAATGAAGTTATTATAGGTTTTAAATCCCGACAAGAATTAGAACATGCAACAAAAATTATAAAAATAAATTATTTTTCAAAATCACAATATGATCATCGATGGGGTTAAAATAAAATAAAATAAAATAAATATACAAAAAAATAGACAAAATACATAAATGAACAATTAAAAAATAAGCAACTACAACAGCAACAATAAATGATACGACAACAAGAAACAAATGAGCATAATCAAATTTTAAACAATTATAATTATGTACCTTTCTGTTTAGATTATTAACATCAATATGAATTTTATTGAATCATGGAAAAATCGTCCAATGAAATAACTCATTATTATTCGTTCGAAGTCATTATCACCTCTACATGGTCAACAACATCCATTTATGCAATATCTTTACAACGTGATAGATAATTGATTTATCAAATAAGATCAAGTTCATGAACAACATTTTCACATCAAAGCAACAATGATTTATAACACAATAATGGGTTTTTCTTCATCATTATCAACTATTATTGAAAATACAACAGAAATATCTATAACCGATTCAATATCATTAACAAATATACAAAAAGTACTTGATGATTCTAGTCAAATTTCATCTATACGTTATATTGAATCATCATCAAGGGAAGATCAAGATATAAGTGAAACAAAATTAACATTCTCTAGGGAATATACTGAGTTAAGGGTACCCAAAAAAGTACCCTGATACCAGTATGTCACAGGAACTTTTGGGTACCAAAGTACTTGCAGGTACTTTCAGGTACCTAGGTGGTACTATGGCAAGTACCCTGCTGGAGAATGCACAGTAATTGGATACCTAAAGGTACTGATCAAGTACTGAATTGGGTACTATTGTATAGTATTCCTAAGTACCCTGTTACCAAATTTTCAGTATGTTCAGGATCGAACCTGATCTTTGACTTTTTAAAATTTTTTCTTTTGCTTGAGGTAATTTACTAGATTTTTTTTTACTTTATTCAATTTAATTTTTTCAATTCTAAAAACTTAGCAGGAACAATGTCGGGATCCGACTCAACTTGAGTTGTTCGTAGACCACTTCAGGGTAGTCCGATCTTAATTTACAACCAAGCTCGGCATTTCCTCGACTAAGAAATAGTCAAGAATTAGTTTAGAAAAAACTAGTATGAAAAGTGGTGATTTAGT